TCAACAATTCAATTAATTTGAAATGGAGGGAGTATGATATATGATGATATATTTTGTTGATAGATATAGTTTTATTTTACGAAATTATATACAACATGAGTAGACATTTTTTATCCGCAAAATGGTGCAGATGAATTTATCGATGTGGTTTAAGGGCACACAAGTTGAATTAATCTTGTAATCATATTATATCGAAATAAATCTCTATCAAAAGTAAGATAACACATACTCCCTCTGTCCTTAATGATTTATCCATTTTTTCTTGAGATAAGTTTCAAAAACACATCTAAATTATATCCATTTTTTTTAGTTTCATACCTAAACTATTGAGAGTGTGAGTTTCATACCTAACCTAAACTATCACTTTTTAGTTTGAGAAACACACATCTCTCTTTTATACCACTCTCATCATGGTGTGTAATACACTCTCTCTTTTATTTTAAAAAAATGTCATATCACACTCTACATGGACAAAACATTCAACCTTGACAAAAATTAAATAAATTATTAGTATAAGTTAAGATTAAAAATAAAAAAGTTATTATCCAAAAAAATAATATTTCTTTTATAAAAGAATTTAATTTTTTTACTTCATCTCCCCCCCCCCCCCCCACCATTTTTTAAGTTTTTTTTTGTTTAAATTTCTTTTATAAAAGAATTTAATTTTTTTACTTCATCTCCCCCCTCCCTCCCTCTCAAATATTAATTTAGATATTATTTTATGTTTTTTAAAAGATAATTCTACCCACCCCACCTAACCCTTCGCTTCCAAATTTTTTCTCATTTTGTGTTAGATATATACATATCAAAAATATTTTTTACTTGCCGCCGCAAGACATTTTTTTATATTTTTACTTATTTATGTTATATTTGGTACATTGGATTTATTTTTTCCCGGGAGGTGCCGGTACCGGTTCCGGTTCGTTCCGGTCCGTTACCGGTTCCGTCTCGGTTCCGGATAGTACCGGTCAGATCCGGTATTATACCGGTCCGGGAGGGGTAACGGGACGGAAACCGGAATTTACCGGTTCGTCCCGGTCCGGTTAGTCCCGGTTCCGTCCCGGTCCGATCCGGTTCCGGTCCGGTTGGGCCAATTTTTATTTTTTTTTTAATCTGAAATTTCAAAATTTATAGCCGTTGAGAGCCGTTGGGCAACGGCTTTTGGGCCCCACCAACGGCTCTTTCACCCCCATAACCCCCCTTTACACCTCCCTACCCCCCAAACTTTTTTTAATACCCCAAACTTCTTAAAACTACATTTTCATCC